TAGATCTAAAATGTGCCCACTAATTACATTAGGAAAAAAAGTGACTAAGAATTAGGTACTTGGGTTCTGGATTCAGATCTGCAAACAGCCCTGTTGTGTAAATGACCTTACACATGACATCTAACATATTTGTGTATTAGTTTCTTCATCTGTTGCATAATAATATCATGAAGGGAAATTCTTCCTTTTATGGTAGAGCCTGACTGAACATAACACATTTGAGTACTGCATTGTGCTTCAACTCTCCTAACCAGCTGAAAGCTGTTAAAGAGACCATGACCTTTGAATGATCCTGGTAAGCTAAAGCAAGACCCTTATTGGAACTATCTGAAGACTTCTTTTTCCTGACCAATGAAATATGGAGCTTGTTTTAACCATCATGTACAAAGCTGTGGATTTATTCCAGCCTATTCAGAGTATTTGTTTTAATCTTTAATTAGTGTAGCAAACCATGACAACGCCTCCTGAAAATTAAAAACACCTTCTTTCCCCTCTCAGTCAATTGGTATGCCTGGAAATAAGTAAAACCAGCTGGATTTATTTTGCTTTTTAACTCTGGTGGTCTTTATTATTTGACATTATCTTATATTTGAATAGCACTGTACAGTTTACTAAGTCTCTTGCCACCTGAGCAGAGTGGGATGTACTCAAACAGGATGGGCTTTTGAACCAAAGAGATTCTGGCTCTGTCACTGACTAGCTATATTTCCTTGGATAAGTAATTGTAACAGTCAGGGTCCCAGCTGTAAACAGATGGCATTCTCCAACTGGACGATTTGAGAGGTTTAATAAAAGGACTATTTATAAAGACGTGAGAACGTACTGGGAAACAACAGGAAGCAAGGGGAGGGGATGGCTACTAGAACCCAGAACCAGAGAGAGCTATGTGGAGAGGCCACTTGGGAGGACCTGTGACCTTTGGTTGAAAGGGCCAGTCAGCCCACTGTGACCTTCAAGCAGGAAGTCAGGGGAGGGAATACCCCAACCTCACTCCCTTCCTTACCCTACCTCTGGAGGGGAACACCAAAGATAACAATTATTTAACCTTTCTGAGTCTTATTTTTCTCATCTGTTAAAAAGAGAGTAATAATATTTCCTAGAGTTTCTGTGAGAATTAAATGAGAACTTATAGCAGACAAGCTAGGCCCCCTTCCTTCACTTGATCTTTAAAACCTCCCTGTGAAGTAGACAAGTTAGATTTTATTAATGCCAATTTACAGTGGTGGAAAATGAGACTCTGAGAAGTTAAGTGACTTTCCCAAGGTCTCATAGCTAGACAAGTAGTAGAACTGGACTGAAAACAAGATTTTCTATGTATACTCCAGATTTCTTTCCCCAGATTATTCTGTACCCCTCAACCCCTTCTGCAGAAGTCTGCCACAGATGGTTTCTTCTTTCAAGAACTATAGCCAGAGCTATGGTAACTCTGTTATTTAGAGAAAAATTGACTGACCCAGGAATCAGTGCCTAAGCCCTTCCAAAAGCAAGCACTGGTTGGTTAAAAACGAAGAAGGTCAAATGCCTATGAGGTGGTTTGATGTAAGACTCTGACCAACATAGGAACCCATATTGGAGACTTGGCAGCTGTGATTGGGTATCTAATAGGCATCCCCTATATAGTACACTGAAGTCAGAATTCTTGATTCCTTCTACCTCAAAGCTGTTCCAACCCCAAAACTTCCCCTCTCGATAAAAGCATCACTAAATACTCAGTGGTGCAAACACAAAACCCAGGAGTCATTCTCGATTCTTTCCTCTTCTTCCTGCCTTCCATCCCTCACCAGCATGTCTAATTGGCTTTACTTTCAAAATATATCCCAATTCAACCACTTCTCTTCATCTCCTCTGCCTGTGCAAGCCACCATCATTTCTTGCCTGGCTACTATAACCTCCTGTCAAGTCTCCTCACTTCAATTCTTGCCTCTTCCCAACCCATTTTCTGTTCTGCAGAAATAGATCTTTACAAAATGTAAAATGGATCACGCTACTCCTTGGCTTGAATCCCCAGCACAGGTCTCCCCTTCACATTTGTATGTCATGGCTCCTCACCATGACTGTTGCGGTCCTACTTGTTCTGACTCCAGTCTCCCCCTCTATCACTATGTTCCTGTCACATTTTTTATTCTTTAACACACCAACCCTCTTCCTGCCTCAGGCCCATTGCAGTTGGTTATTATCTCTTCCTAGAATGTTCTTTATCCAGCCTTCACATAGCTGGCACTTACTGTACAGGTGTTAGCTCAAATATTATCTTCTTAGAGACACTTCCTTTACCATCCAATCTAAATATTACTCTGGTGGAGTCTCTTCTTAGCACCTAAAATTCACAGACTAAAATTATGTAGTTGACTTATTTATTATACTTATTATATGTTGCCTTGCCAGAATGTAATCTCCATGAAAGCAGGGCCCTTATCTGGCTTGTCTGTTTATCCCTGTCTCCCTAGCATCTAGAACAGGGCCTGGCATATCACAGCCCCTCAATAATTTTTTTTTTACAGGAAAAGATAGTGAATGGTGACAAACCAAATATAATTAGTTACTCTTTCTGGGAAGTATTTGCTATGAGAAGCATTTTGAAATGTCATCAGAGAGTAAAAGATGATTTCTTTTAGGGGATGACAAGATAACTGGGTTACTAGAGCTGGTGATCCCTGAATAATGATGATACTTTGTGCAGTTCCCTCTGAGGCGATCAGTATGTCCTAATCTTTGAAGTATGGGGGAAAATGAGGAACTAAATGACCGCTGACAGTTTCCAGGTCTTCCCCATGTATGTTACAATAAACTCCATCACCTAAGGCAATGCCCCAAAAGCAGAGAAGGTAAAATTGTATCCTTAGGAGATCTGATCTGCTAGCAGACTCTTGCAGACTGTGAAATTTCTTTAGTCTTCTATTTTATCTTAACATTCACACAAATTTTGGGCTCAGTATCGTATCTATTTGTATTTATGTTAACATGTGAACGCTTTAAATTATTTTCCCATTTGTAAACTCTGTGCTGCAGGAAAGCCATGCTATCCTGCATCTTTACATTTTCCATGGCAATCATACCTCAGGGATACATTTTTGCAGTCTGAGAAGTTCTGGCATTCTTTTCCTTTGCAACTCAAGTATTCTTTAGCACAATTCACTCATCCTTCAATAAACATTTATTGAACATCTACTACATGCTGGGCACTCTAACAGGACTAAGGATACAACTGTGAACAAGACATGTATGACTCCTATCTTCATGGGCTTATAGTTTAGAAAAAGAGAATGAGAAATAAAGAGGAAATTAAAATATATTGGTGATGCTTACTAAGATAAGGAAGAAAACTCAGGATGACAAGGGAAATGTAGAAAATGGCACATAATCCCAAAATAGGTGGTGAGGACTGATTTTCCAGAATGAAATAATCTGAAAAAATAATGAGTAGAAATTAGCCAGGTAAAGAATGGGGGGGATAGTATTCCTGGCTTGGCTTAGACTAAGCCTTGGAGACCAGAGAGAGAGCACAGAATTTATAGGAGCCAATTCAGTGTACTAGTTTAGCGTGGCTGGAATAAAGTGCAAAGGCGAAAGAAGAGAGAGAAGGCTGGAGAGGTAATCGAGGCCAGATATGAAAGGCCTATGCTAAAGACATTCAATGTTACTCAAAGGTTATAGAAAGTCACTGAAAGTCACAGTCATCTTAGGAAGAACTTTTAAAAAAGATGACTTGGAGACCACAACTCTATGTTTAGAAAAGAACAAGGACTCAACATATTTTAGGGTAAAGGGTGTAATTAGCAAATTCAGAGCCCCAAACTAATTGAACTGAGTCATCATTTTAATCTTCTCCCCTTAAAAGTAACTCTTACCTCCAAAGATGACCACTAATCATCTTTGGGACTAAGTAACCTTCTCTAGTCTCTCCCACTGTCTCTGGACTCCCAACTCGAGTCACTGGGATTATAGCATTCCCTCAAGAAACAAATAATTTTCCAACATGCTGCAACACACAAAGCACATGTGATTTTACAGGTTTAAATACTGTGGACTTCCTATTCGGCATTCTTGATCTGATATGCTAGTGGAGGCCACAACTAAGTTTTCCCCTTTGGAAACAGGAAGTCAGGAGAGGATGTGAGGAAGTTTGGGCTGGTTAATGATTATAACAGGAAAAGAATACAATTATAGTACTGTGGTGTTTCCATTCACTTGGTCATTCACTGAGAAACTCTTTGCTTGAGTTTTTCTATCCCTCAAGGGGAGATGAAGATACCGTGCAGGCTTTCAGGGGCAGAACCTCTTAGACAATGAGTAATGTGTACTTTGGTAGTACAGTGGCTAAGCCGAGGAATAAATGCACAACCGTGACCAACAGGTATGTGATGGGAACATTATCTAAAACAGCTAGATGTTTAGAGCAAGTGTTCCTTTTTTGATAAGAAGCTGATATGATGCCTATATGGCATTCAGAGCACATGGGCTGTTACTCCCTCAGTGGTCATTTTCTTCAAACCCTCTGTCTCTCACTCTTTCAGAACTTTTGGGCTAAATATGTCAGTTAAAAGTGGGCAGATTTACCAGTTGGAAAAATGATGACACCCAACTTCTCATCTCCTTAAGGATTTTTCTGGTCTGTGGGAAAATGTCATCACTGAGCAAATCAGTTGAACAAGATGGTATGAGAGGGCTCATAACAGATGCTTACAACGAAGGGCATCACAGACTGAAAACTGAATAGGGTGAGAGGACACATGAGCATTTCCTTTTCTGTCGCCATGTGGCTCTAGAACAAGGGACAAGACATTTAAAACCAGGACAACTCCAGAGGGAAAGGTCATTAGCTAGTCTACTCCAATTCCCTTGAGTGCTGTTTCCTTAAAGAATTTAGAAACTGGAGAGAGCAGTGGTTTCCAAAGTCGCAACGGCGTCCCTTCTCCAAATTCGTCTTCTCATTTTCCCTTCCTGGCCCATAACTACAATTTGTTTCTTTGCATAATATTTTTGGCTTTTCCTTACCTCAGCTTGTAAGAAAAGTTATTTCGGCCACTCCTCTCCACGCGCCCCAGGAGAGCCCCTCAGGTGCTCACACTTCAGCTTGAGTTGCGGCCGGTCAGTCATTCAGGAGAGTTCAGCGTCGAAGACCCCCAAGGGAGAATCGCCGACGCGCACGCGTCTCACCGCTTCAAGCAGAGGTAGCGATGCGAGACGAGGAAAGCGGACGACCCAAGCAGGGCCGCGGGCCCTTTAAGAACAAGCCACGCCCCTTCCCTCCTCCTGGAGCGGCCGGCAGTCGGTGGCGGCCGCTACGGTGCTGACAAGATGGCGGCTGGCGGGGCTGTTGCTGTGGCGCCCGAGTGCCGGCTTCTGCCCTACGCGCTACACAAGTGGAGCTCCTTCTCCTCTACCTACCTTCCCGAGTAAGTGCCGGGCCCTGGGATCGTGCTGCCCTACTCTTCGGTGTATATACGGCTGGGCCAGGGGGGCGGTGGAGGGCAGCCGAGCCGAGAGGCCCAGGCGGGGCCTGGTGAGGGGGACGCGCGGCCTCCGGAGTCTCCTTCCAGCCTCTGAGCGAGTTGCCCGCCCCCGCCTCAGGGAGGGGTTGGGGTCCGGAGACAGAGGTCTGGGGGGAAGGGGCGAGGTGTGTGGCGGGGCCGGGGCACGTAGGACAACCGAGGCCGGGAGATGCTGCGGCCGGGATTTGAAGGTTGAGGAGGGCTTGGGAGCGGGCGGCTCAGGGAGGTGGGGCAGAGGAGCCCGAGCTTTCGGGGTCCGGACGGCAGGCAAACTGGCGAAGCTGTCTAAGGGCGTCTGAGGTGGCTGGAGACGGGGGACGGTTTAGTCGATTGCTGCCGGTACAAAGTGTGAAGCTTAGAAGAAGAGTGACTGTTCCTGGGGGAAGGGGGGCGTTGGACGGGTCATTAAAAGTGATGAGCTCCAGAGGACTGGTGAAAGTCACAGAAGGCTGGAAAGTTGTGGAGTCTGAATCCTTGCAATTAGGGAGACGTTCTAGGATTTACAGGGGGTAATCTTTTTCTGGCTGAAAAAGATAGGGAGTGGGCAGGAGGGACATTACAGAAGAATTCAATTATATCATGGCTCAGAACATGGATTTATGTAGACGCAGACCAGTTTCCCGACCCAGCAACTCCAATATAAACAGAGAAGTCTGACTTGAATCAACTTGACTTGCAACACAGGCTTGGTCCGGATTCCCATTCAGGTGTTAAAAAAGAGTTCCATTTCCTTACTACCATATGTTTTTCTGTGGCAAATTGCTTCTGAAAGGTTGACAGTACTTTAATTTAGTATTTACCTGTCTTTTATCTTATCTTTGAGAGAAGGAGCAGATCGAACCCCAGTGTTACATACAGATAGAGGAAAGGGCTTAGTAAAGTTTTAAGATCTGTGCAGACCCTGAAGAAAAGTTCTAGTTGTCCCCCTGGATCATCATCTTATAAGCCCAGGAATAAATTTATAAACAAAACAAGTTACAAGTAATATATTTTTATGTTACACAACAGATAAAGTGGCTAGATACATGAAGCATACTCAAAAGTTTTCCACCTATGTTTCAGAAATTCTTCACATTTTCTCAAATTTTATTCTCTAGTCAAATCAAATTCTCTAGTCAAATCAGTCAAAAATCTAAATGTGGAGCTGTGACTAGAAGAATCTAATTCTCTTGATTGCCAGCCCATTATCCTATTCTCCAGGTCAAGGGTTGACAGTCAGGCCTTCGGTAGGATCTGGTTCAGTGAGGATGCCAAGTGACCTGTGGTCTGGTCAGGCCAGTGTGGCCCATTGTTGGCTGCTTTGTGGCTGTTTGATGCTGGAATCCTACTTTTAATGTGAGAATGAGCCAGGTAAACATTCTAGCCTTCAGCTGGAGTTGAAATGTGGCCCTAGGTACTTGACTTCTGATTTTCTGATTGTTGAATCTGAAGATAATCAGTGCTTTTCTGTACACAAGTTAGGATCACAGATAGTTGGGAATTGGAATGGCATTGTTTGGTCTAATAACTGTGGAGACATTTTCCAGGCCTTAAGTTAGACTACTTCCAGGATTTCACATCTTAAATTTATATTGTAGGGATAAGACTTGGATCTGAGTTATGATAAAAAGAAAAAAAAAAGTAAGAAAAGCAGAAAATGACTAGTGGGATGGCAACTTAACTTAGACTTATGTCTCCTGAACCCAGATTTGAAGTGCACTAGTTTTGGAGTTAGAAGGCAGCCATTTGAAATAGAAGAAATCTGTTATTACAATTTTCTCAAATACATTTGTAAACTAGTATTTAATGTGTATGTAACTTTCAGACACTTTCATTAACAGTATATTTAATCAATATGTTAATTTATGCAATAAAGTTTTTATTTTAAAGCACTAAGCTATTATAATAGAAGAGTAATCTGAACTTTTTCTTTTGAAGGAGTATAGCTGAGTGTTACAGAGTTTGAGTCTGAGAGTTTTGTGCCTGCTGGATTGATGTGTGCCATGCCTGAACTTCCTTTAGCAAGTAAGGATGGCACTGAACTTCTGTTAGCAAGTAAAGATGTTATAACTTTGTGTGATAGGAAGTGTAAGGAAGGGAATTGAGTTTCCTTACCTTTAGCCTAAAATCCTAACAGCAGTTGCTGTATCTTTACTGGCAATGACAATCATGTTAAAGTACTTCTTAAGCAGGTCTAATATTAAGTAAAGTCATTTGTTGAAATTGTCTACAGAGTAGCAAGTATTTATTGATTACAAGGTCCCTAGTGCTTTTTCTATTCCTCCCTTTCTTTCCCTTTCCCTAAACTGAGATTAGACACTGGCCTGACTTGGAAACCTTACTGGCCACTGCAAGTTCTGATATTTTCAGTCTGGTAATCTTAGAACTTTAGGAAAATAAAGATAGCCAAGTTAGAGGAAAAGTATCATGAAAGTGGCTGAAGGACTAGAGATTGAATTTGTAGAGCTGCCTTCTAGGATTGGATCTTTGTGACTTTTAGCAAGTATGATTCTTGTCTGAGCATCATCAGTTTCCTTATATGTAGAAATACTTCTTATCTTGATCAAATACTGGAAGGTTTAATATGTTTAAATTTTTCTCCTTTTTTTGCAGATAGAAAAATAACTTATTTGCATTAACTTTTAGGGAATATAGTAGGTTTTTAATAAATGATTTTTGGGGACTGATGCAGGAACTTTTGTGATGTTCTGCTTATAGCTAAGATACATTTCAGCAGTTTGTGGTGATCTGACTTTGCTTTATTTCAGTCATTCAGGAGTCATCTTCGGAAATATGAGAGATTTTTTTAGATTTTAATTTTAGAAATGTAGCTATTAGCACCAAAGAATGTATTTTTTGTGTATTGAAAATGTATATTTTCTTTGTATTTACTCCGGGGTTTCTGGCTTCTCTCATATCTGTAGCATGACTCTTTCATCAGTTCTGAAAAGATTTTGGTATTCTTCAAGTATTGTTTCTACCCTCTTCTTTTTCTAATTCTCTTTCCAACTCCAGTTAAATCCGTATTATGTCTTTTGTCTTATCCCATATGTCCTTTATGCTTTTTTGTGTCTTTTTTAAATAATTTTCTTCTCTCAGTTTCTCTCAATTCTGGATAGGTTTTACTTCCCTGTGTTCCAGTTTATGAATTCTCTATTCAGCTATGTTCAGTCAACTTTTAATCTCATCTATTCTTGATGGCAGCTAATGTATAGTGCTAGGCTTTTCATTTGATTCTCTCTTTTTAAAAATAAATTCTAATTCTCTGGTGAAAAAATCTCCATATTGTTATCTATTTTCTAGAACATATCAATCAAATTGCTTTAAAGTCTGTGTCTGTAAGTTCCAATATCTGGATCATCTGTAGGTCTGTATCATACATTTTATCTTGGTGTGTCTGGTAATTATTATTATTATTACCATTATTTGGAGGAGTAACTTTTGATTAAACACCATACATTATAATCAGAATTTAAGTACAATTACAAATTACAGTTAGTTGCCTAATGATATATAGCATTTCTTTAGAGAGGATTCACCCATCTTCTGGCAGGTAGATAAAATAGAGGCAGATCACCTGAGTAGTCAAGAACTGAACTGACTTGATGCTGGGTTTTAGGCTTTGTAAACCTCTAGTTTTCATAACTTTGGTAGCCTGCCAGGGAACCCACATGAGATACTGGATATTTCTAGGGCCTCTTCTGCTTTGTCTTTCTAGCAGCATGAGGATCCTAAAAGCTCCTCCTTGCTTTCTGCTGTCTTTTTAGCCTCCTGCTCTGTGCAGTTTAAGAATCTTCTAGAGGAAAATCAGTACACAGTGTCAGGTTTGTTCTTCTGTATCTTTTTCTATAGGATCTTGACCCCTCAGGTCCTGAGTGTCATGGCAAGACCTGGCTACCAAGTTTTGCCCCTCTACCCCCTTGAAATTGCCAAAAGCTCTGCTGCCTTTTCTGCTTAACTGTCCTTTCCTAGCTTCTCAGTTACTTTTCCTGTTATTTCCCATTAAAGAAATAGGCGAAATGTCCTGAGAGGGAAAGCTGCACAGAATGTGGGCTCTCTTTAACAAGTTCTTCAGCATCTCAAGTCCTAGCTGCGTCAAAAAGTCTCTGATACCTTAAGAACATTTGCTTGTATTTTATACAGCTTTTCTAGTTGTAGGAGGTTATATTGGTCTGTTATAGGCTATTCTGTCATATCCAGAAGCAGAAATCTGTGTTTAGTTCTTATGGAATGGACTGTTATATTTTGTAGGCTTATGAATTCCTCAAGGTTATATTAGTGTCATGATCTAACACTTGAGCCCCAGATTATTTTGCTCAGTGTTTTCTTGTCTCTTTTGAGGCTTACTTGTTTATGAGGTCCAGAAATTGAAAGTTTAATCTTTACCATAAGTATATACTTATTTTCCCTTCTTATAATGTGATTTTTATATTATTTACCTTTTTAAAAAACTTTCATGGGAATATTTACGTGAAGACACTTTTTAGAAGGTAGATACTTGGGGCTAATGTAAATTTTTTGGTTTGTAAATATTATTAGTATTTCATACTTTAGAAATATCCTTATATTACTTTAATGTGACCAATATTTATTATAGTTGTTGAGGCATGTTGTTTTATATAAATAGAAATGCTAAATTATTTTAAATATCCTTGAGTATGTCCCCTCTCCCCTTCCTCACATTGTTCCCTTTTTTCCCTTTTGATTTAAGTAGTTTGATCAGAAGAGCAATAAAACCTAACTCCTACTTATTCTTCAGCTGTCAACTAGAATGTCACTTTCATAGGAAAGTCTGACTTACCCTGCCCTCCCAATGAGTCTGGCACCACTTCCCCTGCCCTTACAGTTAAATGCTTTCATGCAAATGTATACCCTTCTCACATAACACTTTATACAGTTTATAATTATGCATTTATTTGTATTAT